TTCGTCGTGTGCGCGCTAACCAACGGCAGCGTCGAGCTGTACCGCGTCAGCAGCAAGCTCGCGGCCGACGCTCTGGACAGCGACAGCGCGTACAAGCTAGAGCACGTGGCGCATTACGCGAACGCCGCGGTGGCGCCGACCTCGATGGTCTCGCCGAAGCTCTGGCACCGGAACTTCGTGCCGGTGGCCTGCGTGAACCGCACGGGGCTGCTGTACGTCGCCGCGGCTCCGACGCAGCTGGTGGTCTACAACCTCAACGAGGACCTCGCGAAGCCCGTGCAAGCGGTGCAGGTCAAGATGCGCCACGCGCGCGAATTCATCCGCACGATTGCGACGACGCCACTAGAACAGAATTTGTTGGTGACAACTTCGCGCGCATACATCAAGCTTATCAACCCGTACAACGCCAGTCTCATTTGGGAGCGCTTTCTGGTAATGCGCGACGCCGGCTCGTTGGACGCAGAAGCGTACGCGGACGCGACGTGCTCCGCGTCTTTCGCCTTCAACTTCATGCTGTACGGCGTTCCGGCGATTACGCTCGACGAGAAGTGCGTGATCTGCGGCTTCATGAGTCCGGACGGCGGCAAGATCGTGGTGTGGGACCGCGAGTCGCAGTCGAAGTACTTCCGCGGCAAGCTGGCGGACGTGCCGTACATCACGGCGCTGAACGTGCAGGAAAACCTGCTGGTTGACGCGTCCGAGCAGGCTACCGTGTGGCAACTCGAGCCACGCAGCGGTTGAGCCGCCGCTCAGCGGAACAGCGAGAAATTCGCGGTGTCTGCGACGATCTCGTCTGCGCAGAGCGCGAGTTGCTGCACACAGCTCAGAAGTTCCGCAAGCGCATGCTTCGCGAGCACGACGAGCTGCTCGACGCCGAACGCGGCGACGTCCGCGTAGCGAAACACAAGACTCAGCTGGAAGCCGTCCTTCGGCGCGCCGGCGAGCACGCGTCGGCGCAGCAGGATTTCGTCTACGCGCGGACAGCTGCGCTGCAGCGCGCGCTGCGCCCAGCTCTGCTGGCTGCCGGCGCGCAGCGGCTGCACTTCGTCCGCGCGGAGCTTCACGGCACGCATCTGCATGCTCAGCTGCGCGCGCAACGCAGCGAAGACGGCGTTGGCTGCGTGCTGCAGCTTTGAGTTGGCGAGCGCAAAGCGGAAGCTGAGCCGCGCGCTGTCTTCCGCGAATTCTAGCAGAGCGCTGCAGACTTCTTCGCGCTCGAACGCGGGGAAGCGCAACGTTTCGGTCGGCTGCACCAGCTCGACCAGCGGCTGTGGCGCGGGCGCCCGCGCGAGTGGCCCGGCGCGCAGCCGCCGCAACAGCGCCTCGAGTTCCGGCCAGAGCGCGTCGAGCGACTCCGTCGCCGGGAAGAAAGTGTGCGCCAGCTGAGCCAAAGAAAAATCTACGCTGACATCACACT